CTGGGCTTACGGGTGGCCCTAGATAAGACGGAGGCTCTCTTCTTTCATGGGCCCCGTCGTGGTCCACCCCCTGGCGCCTCAATCGTGGTCAACTCGGTCCTCGTACCGGTTCGGGCCCAGATGAAACATCTGCGACGAGTGGCGCGAAGCCGCTCGCCGAGCCACGATGGCTCGTTGGTCGTTCCGGCTGGAGACTCCACGCGCTGGCTTCGCCGCCGTGGAGGCTCTCCAGCCGGCCATCGCCGAGTGGGCAGGGCGGCAGCACGGGACCCTTACCTTCCGGCTGACGCAGGTGCTTTCCGGGCACGGTTGCTTCGGAAAGTACCTGCACTCGGTCGCTAGGAGGGAACTGAGTCCCGCCTGCCACCACTGCGACTGCAGTGAGGACTTGGCCCAGCACACGCTGGCGGTCTGCCCTGCATGGGCGACGCAGCGCCGGGCCCTCACTGCAGTCATCGGAGTGGATCTCTCGCTACCGGCCGTAGTACGCTCCATGGCCGGTAGCGACAGTTGTTTTACCGCGGTCGCAACCTTCTGCGAGGAAGTAATCTCGCAGAAGGAGGCGGCGGAGAAGGCCCGGGAGGACGACCTCCACTCGGACCCGATCCGCCGCCGGCGAACCGGGCGGCGGAGGCGCGCTCACCTGCGCCTCATGCCGCCCTGAGTGTGGCCGCGGGTGGACGGGGTGGGTTTCCCCTCCGTTGTCCGCGTGTGCCGTAGCCTAAAGAGAGGAAAAAATAAAAAGAAAAAAAATTTTGAGACGGAGCCCGCAACAGGAGCGGGCCGGCGCTAGGAGGGGTCCGGATGTCTTAATAACAGCTGTTCCCGGATCCCTCCTATTACAGGCGCAGAGTGGCACCGTGTGGTTTTAGTCGGTCCGAGTCCGACACACCACCCCGCCGCAAACCCCGGTGGGGTGACGGGCCGAGGGGACTACCCCACGTAAAAAAAAAAAAAAAAAGACCTTTGCTGATAAGTGGCACACAGACAGGGTGCCGAAGCTTAATAGTCAAGCGTAGAGTGTAAGATATTAGGTCTTTACATATGAAATTGGCGTTTTGTACGGGTGGAATATAAATTCATATTTTTTTTGTAAAATGTATTTAATTAATCAAAGTATGCACCGTTGTTATCTTTGCACTTCTGCCATCTCATAGGTAGTTAATTGATCACTTTACTAAGAAAACCATGGGGGCGAGAATCAATAAACTCTTTAAAGACGGTTTGGACTGCCGCATCGGAGTTGAATTTTTTTCCTCGTAAGAAGTTGTCCAAATTCCGGAAAAAATAGTGGTGCTTTGTGATGGATCCGCTTCCACAATAGCCTTTAATTCTTCATTTTTCTCTTTGGTCTATGGCCGTTTACGGGGTTGGTTCTGAAGGTCGAAATTTCCAGAACGAAAACGTTGAAACCAAAAACGTATCGTGCTTTCTTTTGCGACACCAGCGCCGTACACATAATTAATCCTTCGAGCTGTTTCTGCAGCACTGGTGCCACGGTAGAACTCGTACTCGTAAATATACCGATATTTAATGTTGTCCATAAGCGACGACAAAGAAAAAAAAATGAGGAAAAAAAAAATGAATGACTGTTTTCAAAACTCAAATGTACCAGCTAAAAGAATTTATAAATTTCAATTTGGAATTCTTAAACAAAGAGGAGACATTTCAGATCAAAGTGGTCAGTACAATAAAACGCTAATTTCATATAGTTATAAGGACCTAATATATAATATATAAGTAAAAATTTTAAACTTCTGGGATCTCCAATGAAAGATGTACACAATTAAATACAATAATTTTATAAATAATATAATAAGAAAATTTTAAGCCTTAAAAAGCAACAAAAAATAGAATTACAAATTATTTACAATTAAATCACATCACATCACATTCATTATTTACAAACTTAATTACAACCTTCAATGTTCTTTGTTCAAATCTTTAACGCGTTTGTGGGGGCCCAGGCCGGGTCCATAGTCGATCTTTCTTTCGCGAGTTCGGGCCTGGCTCCTCACATACACAACTGGCGGGTCGTCGAGGAGGTGGAGACTTCGTCGGATCATCGGTACATCCGATTCGACCTCGTCCCTGCTGCCTCGGCGACTCGTGTGGCACTGGACCGCTCCGTGTTTTAGTTTTAGTTTTTAAGACGCTTTTATTAGCTTCGGTTGTATGTTTGTATGTATGTACCAAAATCTTTTAACGGAATTTTCATTCGATTCATAATGTCAAATTTAATTGAAGCTGAATAATTTACAAAGACCTATAATTATATAATACAAGAATTTTATGAATTTGTCTTATTATCTTGAACGAGATCGTCAGGATTAGCGATTAATAAATAAAAAAATCAGAGTGAAAAATGAATAAGTACTAGCATTTGTCGATATGTTTTGTTTGTTTCTGTTTCATTCTCAAGTAACTGAACTGCTCGTGATTACCTGATTTACCTTAGTATGTCTCAAAATAATAAAAATATAATGCCATCAAATTCTTCAGTTCATTCATGAGCCGAGTTGTAGCCAGCTGTCATAGGCACCCAATCTTCACTGAACCCTGTGATAACATCGAACACGCGTACCACATACGTGATCTCAAAAATTTCACCATAATAAGAGCCGTTCTCATGGATATCTCGATGCGTAGCTTTAATCTACATATAATGAACTACTTCAATAATCGACATCAACCCAGTATTTTAAAAAGGTTGTGTGTTATCTGATCAGGCACGATATTTATATGCTACGATTTGAACGCTCATCGCCACGTTTGGAAGAACCAAAAAATTTTTGTTTTGAATTGGTTCCAGGTACTGGCCATCAGTCATTGACATTAAAAAAGGAAATTTCAAATGGCATTACCTCCGAGTTCCAGTTCCATTGAGTTTAATGTGAAGAGGTAAAAAAAAACAAGGACCTCTGATTAATAGATTTATTATACCTGATATAAATGATTTGAACAAGTTTCTGTGAGTCAAATTTTAGCTCGTTTGAAATAGAGCTCCCCTTTCTCTATTAACGTATGTCTCCTTAACAAAGGTTGATACTTTCTTCACAACTAGTGTCCTAGTGTAAAATTCAGGACAGCCTTTGGTAGGAGAAACTACGAGTATCAAAGTGCAAATATCTACAACAAACTACATAAAATTTTAAACCTTCAACACCAGACAAAGTTCTAGTAAAAATAAAAAAATAATCTGTACGTTTACAATAAAAATTGCGTAAAATTTTCGTCCGTACTCACTCGCTGTATATGGTTGTATTTCTGTAAATGAGAAGTGTAGGAAAAAGGCGTTCTCTTACTGAATGGCGAAATACTCAATACAGGCTTAATAATGCAGTTTATACATGACACATCAACAAACAACATCAAAAGTGTAAAACTGATTTTCATACCGAAATCGGCATTCTTCTTTGTCTCCTCAACAGTTCATCTCAAAAAAACTCAAAATACCCAGTTACCATACACTGCTATCCCTCATCCACTCCACTGGCTTCATGAACCTCTCACTCTATTCAATGGATGCATGGAAGAAATCGCAGAGACGATAAAGCCGTTAATTTTATTATATTTAATTATACTTTAGTTTAAGTTTATCACAATGCATGTAAATTTGTATGAATTTTAGTTTATAATTAAAACTTTATCTATCTGTCTCTCTCTCTCTCTCACACCCTGAGCCTAATCTAAAACTAGGTTGGGTCGGCTTTTAGTCTACTACGATACGGCTGAACTTCGAATTTTCACATGGAGCCACTGTCAACAGACCTTCACAATCAAAGAATTAGGCGATATCGAAGTTGTCTGAACGCAAGGTTCTGGTCGACCAAATCGGACGAGACCTGTCCCCACCAACTTATTGCTACCATGCTGGCGGGTGAGTAAGGCTGTGGCGCAGTGGTCTCTTTCTGTAAAACTGTAATGCTCCAGAGGGAGACCGCTGAACGGGATCGAGATTGCCCATCCCGAGCGAAGAACACGGGGCCGCGGGCCGCCAGAGTTATTGATAGGGCCTAGTAGATGCGGCGTCGAGCCGGGGGATCTGAAATCACATGGCCCGGTCCTACCCGAGTAGGGCGCCTGAGGCCGGCCGTCGCGGAGATTTTTAGACGAAACACCACATACTCCTGGCTTCTGCGTCTTCTAAGAGCCGGTGATCCAAAGGGAATTTCCACCCCGTAAACAAAACAAAAACGATACGAAGATACAGTTCTTCGATATCGTTTTTTTAGATATAATAGACTGTTGTAGGGCTGTTAGGGCTCTAATTACTCATAAAGTATTTTATTTATCTAAAACAGATAAAATAGAATAAAGTTCAGCAATATTGAAACAACATATAATTTTACGGTTAAAGTAGAGCGATGGCCCAGGCACGGTGAATCCGGTGGAAGGCTTAAATTTGGTCTTTATGAGTTTATAGCAAAATTTGTGTTTTATGCACATAACCTTTAGAAGCTTCGTTAATTAAAAAACAGGATTTTACTAATTTCACATGTCTTTATTTATTATATAATATATATTTCTATATATATATCACAATATTTATTTTATAAGTTTCAATAAAAATAAAATAATATACAAAAGGTAAACATTAAAATATAAAAACTAATTATAATAAGAATCATGGGTCCAGTAGTCGGTTATTTACAAACATGCACGTTGTTGCAATTGCATTTTAATCAAAAATACTGCCGTTTGTTGTTTTTAACTTTTGTATTAACAACATAAACGTGTTATTTTATAAGCCATATGGAAATAATGAAATAAAAAAAAAAACCTATTACATTCAGTCGGCAAATCATTTCAGTTCATCCTGTTATTAAAAAAATACGTAAAGAAACCATTAAGTGATATGGAAGAAATCTGATCGACAACAAATTAAGATAAAAATTTAAAATAAAATAAATTAGAATACAAACCAACAAAGGTAACAACATTTTATGTAAATTATGTCCATAACTTTGCCATTCACACTTTATTAAAAATAAACACCGTTAATAGTCGTATTTAAAATCAAATGAAGAGTCGCTGCTTTCAGAACTTGTCCTCCTTTTTTCAGGACGTTCCCTACTTTGCTCAGTTCTGTCACTGTAATTTTTATTTCTGCAATTTGATTGATGGCTTCCTCTATCTCTCCAATTGTAATTTCTACAATCGTTACCTGAGCTTCTGCTATCATAACTGTTATTGTATCTTCTGTTGGAACTATATTTATACTTGCTACACGTTCTACTACATCTGCACGTTTGATTGTGTTTGTTAAATCTGTCTCTTTGCCGTAGCGCTTCTGTTTCATATTTGCCTTGTGTGTCACTAGATTTAATAGAGGCTTTCCCTAACAAATCAGCTATAAAGATGTCACGTTCTATGGGATAACCCCGAGCATTTTCAAATCCTGTAACAATACACAAACATCTCTGTTGATACTTCTAATTAAGCGTAATATAATCTTTTGTTCTTTTGCTACATTAATCTTCGTACCTCATCTTTTACATTTTACATTTATTACATAACAAGGTGGAATGTCTTCCAGTCTAAAAGAAGCTGTCTAATAAAGAGAAACAACTGAAAGCGTGCGAACCCGGGAGTGCTGGTGAAGTCATAAACAGTTCCTAGTCGATATTTATAGACAATAACTTACTCTTAATAGCGTCCTTGGCGGGTACCCCGAGGCGGTCGCGCATGTAGCGACACACCATGTATCCCGTGCGATTTAGGCCGTGTGTGCAGTGGATGCCAATCAAGGATTCTGAAGCAATAAAAAAGTGTTTTCAATTGATGATAAGGTAAATTTCATTTACAGAAAAGTAGTTGTAACATTCTTATATTAGTACTCTACCCAATCCTTTTGTCGCATACATGGCATACACCAAGTACAGAATAGAGGAAAGCCAATACCTATTATGAAAAAATTATAAATAATACATTCATGTTTGTTAGCTTAACCAAAATAAAACGGCAAACACAAATGGCAAGCGATCAATAGCCACTATAGAAAACCGCGGGAAATAAACAAAAAGCTCATGTTTGCGTCATCAAAATCGCAGGGCAAACATCGGCCGGAGGTCATTGACCCGCCCCCATTGCACCCCCTTCGCAATGAGCGAGGGGTCGGTGCAGCGGGGTGGGCGGTAGGGAGAACGGAAGTCGTGGCCGCGGTTTGACACTTCCTCAGGAAGACCTTTGAAGTAACAACCAAGATCCTATAGCGCCTATGTTTCCTATAAAAGTGTTGTTGCTTGTATAAATAACGACTGACTACGATGTTTCTAATTTTAATACATATAAATTAAACTAGCTATCCGCCCCGGCATCGCACAGGTGCAATGTAGATACTACTAATGTGGTGTAAGTGTGGAGTAATTAATTATACTATTATTAAGATAATATTTATACGTACGGTCTGACGCAGCAATTTTAAATCTCTGATATCTACTAAGAAATTAATTTAAATAATATGCACATATAAAAGTATATATTTGGATAAGGAATAATACTGTATTGTTTAAAATAGCTTCGTAAATTACCCATTACTTTTTTGAAATATGTAAATGATAAAAATGGTTACTGTGGGTTTTCCTTAGAAGATAAGACATATATAGAATATCGATGACTTTTTTGTAGATCCTTTTAAGATGTACAATTCCGTAGTACATTATTTTAATCTGTCTCGTAAGGTCTAGCCAGCGTCTGCAATGTAAGCGCACTAAATACATGTTTTTTACGACATCACATTACGAATATTTGAAATTCTAAGATTTTCTCTACTATAAGATGCATGTATAATACATATAAACCCGACTCTTGAATCACTCTTTCTATTGGTGATAACCGCATTAAAATCCGTTGCGTAGTTCAAAAGATCTAAGTGTACAAGAAAAAAGTGACTTAATTTTATACTCGTACTGCGTAAAGACAAAAACATTTCATCGAACCATAACCATATCTAAGCTAAAAGCTACATTATAGGATACGAAAATTAATTGAAACAGGCAGATGTCCAACATTACAAGTTCTGCATCTGACAGACTGGCTGACTGATTGATAAACTGACTCACTAACTAGCTGAGTGGCGGTGGGTTGCACAAGCACAAGTTCGACGCTTGTGCTAGAAGTTGGGCTTCGACCCCGAAATCAAACGATCATAAATATGACGCACTAGCCTAATGGCGTAACATAATCCCTACTTTAAAAGATATGAAAACAGCTTCTTTGATCAGCTATGACTTGATTTCTAGAAAAGATATTTTGCAAAATGCCCATAATGAAAATCTAACAAAATATCCAAGTTTCATTATTTTTCTTTTCTTTACAATTTCGGTCGGAAGACATAACGTCTACATTCTTAGTGAATCATTGACGTATGTTCGATCATCATAAAAACTTGGTTAGTACAAAAGTGTAAAAAAAAAAATTTTCAACGCATTTCTACAGTTTGAAGATGAAATTACAGTTTCAAAAAAATCTCCAGATTTTCAGTTGACAGCGCGAGCTTTTACCAAAAAGCTAAAACTAACATAACACAGGACAGAATAAGAAAAATTCATTTGTGTCGTGTGTACCTCGTATCCTTAGCACGAGACATAAAACAAATAAAACATTGCCGAGGCAAAATTCCCACGCAGTGAGGCCAAGGAGGTAATGTATTTGAGGCATTACACATGCAAATTCATGCCAAATAGAAACAGACAAAAAAGAAATTCATTTAAAACAATCCATCAAGTTAAGCTTTGCCAGCAACTTAATTAACATGTGTACATGTTTTCAATTACAGAAACAAACAATGATAATGATAATTGCGAGTTGACTGATTGTAGCAATGTAATATTTACGAGTAAGAATTAAGATGAAGTGAAATTAATTAAGATGCTTGTGATTTATTTTATATTCTAATGTTCTTTTTAACGTGGCATGGTCAAGTAATGTTTTTTCATAATACACAATCTACATATATATATAAAAGGACAAGTTGGTTTGTAGACGCTTCAAAAACTCAAAAAGTTCTGCACCGATATTGCGCTCAAATTTTGACACGACAAACAACCCGCTTAAAAATTGTTTTGATCTATTTTTTGCGTCAGTTTTGTTCCTCACTTCTCACCAATGCAACCACCACAGCGAAGCGTGGCAGGATACAGCTTGTTGTTAATAATTTTCACCGTGTTAGTCTATTTGTATTAGAAAAACACCTAAACCTAATATAAAATGTTTCCCTCTGTTTTTTAAATTTACCTAAACTTGATATAGCCAATATACAAATGGCTGAAAATCCGTAATTACTTTATAATAATGGAAATTCAATTCAAATCGCTAAAGTGAGAGTTATCAAGCAGGCCCTTATTAGAAAACAACCAATTCTTTCTTTTTTTTATTTCGGAGACGACGACATGTCCATAGTAATCTGGATGTATTAGAACATTTAGAATTATTGCGCTTACAGATTTTCTTTACTAGTCTTGTCTTTCTAGGTCCAATTGGGTCTAACAATATAGGTGGCGCCACATATACTGTTTGAGGCCTTATTTAAAAATATTATACAAAGCAGCCGTTTGGAGCTCCACATTCGCAGACTGTGTTGAACAACATTTCAAATGTTAATTTATCTATTACTTCACATGGCCCTATTCATATGCAAATCTACAACGATACAATAAACCAATAGCCCAATACATATTACTACTCGTAAGCTACTTAACATAAAAAGCGGGTACTGAGTTTGTAATGTAATAAACTTAATAGAAAATAAACAACAGTCATATCTCCGCACTGAACCCAAACAAACAGACAAAAGGCATCAAAAGAAGGCGTTACTTGTTATATCATTATAATAACGTTACATTGATGAATAACAATATTGTGAAAGAGTAGGAATCAACACAAGTATTCTCATATACACATTTAAAAGTGGTTGTCGATTTGACACAACAAAAAAAAGTGTTTTGAGATTTAAACAACATAGTGTTATTTAAATGTAAGTACTCAGCTTCTTGGTACAATTTAAAATAAGACTTGAGTACATTCTATTGAGTTACCCACGAAGAACAGATATCCTTTGTTTCTTCTTACGTTCCTCCGATTTTTTTATATTATAACATTTTGGTACTCTACATATATATGTTTAACTTTGGCCTCATCAAACGTTGAAACAAGTAAACATAAAATATAAAGAATTTTGATTAAATGTAAACATTTTTAAATATGTAGTTGTTTTAGTTATCTGAACGTCAAGCGTCGATTTTTCACCATTGTAAGTTAATCAACATATACTACTCAATATGTACTACAAAAGCAGTTTGTCTCATAAATGTTGGACGCGCGCATTGCATTGCGGATTGATTGTCAACAATCGATGCATTACGATTGTAAACGAAACGACTCGATATCGATACGCGATAGTTCGCCTACGCTCGACCCCCTTACATCGTAATCGGCTTATTAGGATTTTACCACACGCGTGCATACTATTGTAGTGTGACCATCACGACCTAGGTATCTCTCTATCAAGTTATCCAATTACTCTTACGGCTTAGAAAATTGTAATACGTCTACGCACTGCGTAATAAATGGTTAATTAAGTCTTAATAAGCAAATAAACTTATGTCAAAATGCGCTATTACCGTAATGAGTAGTAAAACAAACTAAATCGCGCCACGGGATGCTATTAAAGTTGTTTTTCATTACGATGCCTTTGACACAAACAGCTTTTTGGACAGCGAATGGCTTATTAAGTATTAATACATTGATACTTTTTTATGATAACAGTTTACAAAGTAAGATGCGAGTTCCTCAGCGAGAGAAGAGCGTATTTGTTCGCAGCTTGTAGCCTAATAAGAAAAGTTCATCATCAAGAATGTATATATACAATTTTGTATAATAATCGTTCAGTTCATGAAATCGCTAGCGTCGTAACCTTATCTCGACAGCCCTATCTCGAGAACTTGTTGCGTGTTGCCACATAGTGCGGCGCCACGCGTGGGCATTGATGTGATGATCAGATGACTGATTAGGTATTTAAGAATATTAATTGTTGCAATGAATCCACATTCTTTCACTTGGTATTTTTATTGAACATGACCGAGAAAATACCAGATATTAAAAGTAGTCGTTAATTGAATAATACGTCCAGTCTTATTTCATAAGACATTTAAAATAACTGAATAAAGTTACTAAAGAGAATTTAAAATTAAAATATATTAAGTTACAAAACTAAAGAGATAATTCGGGGTATTTATCTCGAGGTACCTGTATTCTTCAGGGTAAATCTTTAGGCTAACCATTAGGAAGACTAATAAAAATTTAGTATGTATTTGCAAAGGTTTAAGTTACGCCGACAACTGCCAGGAAATAGTTGGGCAAACAATAATCAAATTCTTTAAAGCAAATACTAATAATAGTCATAACAGAGACAGACTTACTAATCATAAAACTCAGACAATAGATACTAACTAAATAAGGAATATTTCTTATATATTGCAAAACTACTAAATTGCGTCTGTTAAGACAAACCACAAGTAACACAAAACAGCGAGTTTAACGAAACAATGCATACACCGCAATACGTACATATAAAGATAGCAAAGAGAAAAATAAACATATAATTTACAGAATAAGAAGACACTGTTAAAGTAGTTATCGCTGCACAAATATACAGACAAACAGATTCATCAGCAACATTTGTCACTAAGACTAGTTTAGTACCAAAACTGCAACTTTGTCTGCAACTGTCTTGTTAGAAGTAAATAAACTGCT